TAAATTTGTAAAATGTAATTATTCAATTAGAAGAATTAAATAAAGTAAAAACAAATTTTTGTATGTTCTTTAAATCGCTCCAGAATTGACAAAACAGAATCTAACTATAAGTACGATCATGAAACTTTTTCTTTAGAGCAGAAAGATGGAAAGTGAAAATTTTCTTCATTAATTATTATCAATAAGAATAGTGCGTGCGTGCGTGCATGCGCGCGTACACATGTGTGCGTGTGTATAGGGAGCGGGGAGAGGGAGAATGACGTCACGGGGGTCGCGTCACTGGGCAAGGGGAATTTGGGTGCGTTCCTTTATTTACTGCAAGTACTGATGCTATGACGTCAAAAGTGTACTGCCAATAGCGTTCCATTTTAACTTCGAGAACTATCGAGGTGTTGCAACTTTACAAATCGGAACTTATCGCAGTACGCTTCGTTCAACTAACCAAGTTAACGTACATTACGTCCACTGACCACTGTATATTATTAACATTGTTTGTTTTTCGTAAACAATGAGTGAAATACTCAATGAAAATATAATTGCATTTATTGCAACTATACTAGTAGAAATTATAGCTGAGGATGAATCAAGTGATAGTGATAGCGATACAGAAATCTACAATAAGATAATCCTTGCCATTTTCAGCTCTTTTTGCATCCTCGGGACTAACAATTATTTTATATGATTCATTAGTTTCACTATCGATTAAGGTTATCTCTAAGTAAGTAGCCATCTTGAACTGCGACTGCTTTACCTCGCTGGCTGCAGTAGTTTCAACAGGAAATGACATCAAAATTCATGATGTCATAGATCTGTACAAGTGCTTTCGCAGTACACTGTAATCCATTTTGGAACGCCGTTGGTAGTACTGGCAGTACTTGCAGTAAATAAAGGAACGCACCTCTCGTCGCGGGGTGCGGTTGTTGCGATGCATTGCCAGGTCCATTGGCTACGTTTACACCGTGCGCTTAGTCCGCGATCTGTACGATAGGTGTCTTTGTTTAACCTACAGGATAAACAAGGACATCTATTGTGTAAGCCGCGGCCTAAATGCACGGTGTAAACGTAGCCATTGATATGACGTCACGCGGAGTCAGCCGCCGCCGGACCTTCACGGTGAACCACATCCAGCGGCGCGAATGTCACATCCTATGACATATTACCACGGACCCGCCTGTGACGTCATCCCCTTTCCTAGTGACGTCACCCTTGTAACGTCATTCTCCTCCCCGCTCCTCGTGACGTCATTCCCCTCGCCTATGACGTCACCCACTCTCCCGTCGCGGACTTCCCCGCGTCCCACACACACACACACACACACACACACACACACACACACACACACACACACAC